GTCTTTGTTGTTTCAACATGTACTTGGAAAAGATGCAAGTTATGATGATAGAAATGATCCTGGTTGCTCCGGGAGGCCACGCAGGTGCCTGGGGAGGCAGGCAGGCTGCCAGGTGCCCACTCTGGAAGCCTGCACTGCCAGGGAACACAGGCCCTTCGGGGCCCGGCACACCCTGCCACACAGGCACCTGGGGAGTGAGGCAGGCCACCAGGCTCCCTCTCCGGGAGGCTGTGTGGCTGGGGAGTGTGGGCCCTTCAGAGCCTGGCGCACCCAGCTGCGCAGGTGCCCAGCAGGCAGCAGGCTCCCAGGAAGCGGTGTGGAGACGTGAGCTGGCCCTCGGGCCAGCCACTGCTGAGCAGTCAAGAAATGCCATGCTGCAGAGAAGCGCTGACACAATAGGCCTGCCTAGAGACGTGCATGAACCATCCTGACATGGAGAAACCTCTGGGAAAACATGCCACACAGGGGGGTCGCTCTTGGCCCTGCCCTTGAGAGCCAGAAAGGTCTAGAGTCAGCAGAGGAGCAGCTGATGAACAAGGACTCGGAGAACACAAGAGTACCGATGCCCGACGACTCAGAGGTCAAGCTGACTGGGGATGCAGGAACCATTTGGGAGCTGGAAACCAGGAGGACCTTGCACAATACCTGGGAAGACCCCCTGGAGGCCATTCTTCCCCTAACTGTTCAGGCTGAGGTGGAGGAGTGAGTGGGACTCCGGAGAGGTCTGCACCGAGACTTCATGGATTACATGGGTGCCCAATATTCAGATTCTGAAGAACCGCCTTCATGGAGAAGGTACATGTCTAGGTTACCTGCCTGGGACACTTTGCACCTGATGGTGCTGAGACTGACTAGCAGGCCAAGCCCTCATCCGCATGTTCCTGCCGCTTGTGTTGACAGTTGGGAAGAGGACAATAAGTGGTTGCGAGATCCCAACGCATTGGGAGGCTGGAGAGAACACCCCTCTGCTTTCTTAGACAAGAGGCATTGATAAAGCATACTTCCCTGGATCCCAGTTCAGTAGAGGGACAAACTATTCTTAAAGATAAGCCCCAAATAGTAGAAAAAAGCTACAGAAAATGGCTTTTGCCCCAGATAGCTCACTTGAGATGTTAGTAAGAATTGCCTCCTCAGTATTTTATAGCTGTAAGGAGGAGGAGGAGGGAAGGAGAGAAAACAAAGAGACTGAGAAAAAACAGCTGCCTTTGTTGCAGCACTAGGTGAAACAGACCCTAAGTCTGATTCTTGGGGCCCCAGGAAGAACTTATTGACTACATTCACCTGCTACGGCTGTCAAAAGCCAGGCCACCTCAAGGGGGACTGCCCTAAGAAGACACCTGGGCCATGCCTTGACTGTAAAGGTGACCACTAGAGGTTGGACTGCCCTCTGAAGTGAAAGCCCCAGAACTCAGACCCCTCCCTACCAGTTGGTCCAACAGGAATGAAGGGGCCCAGGGCATACTCTGACTTCTCCCTCTGGCCAGACCCTTATCTTCAAGGAGGAGCCCCGCATAATCACGACTATAGAGGAAAAAGTATACAGGCTATTTCTGGACACTAGTGCTAGTCTCTCCGTCCTTCTTTTCAATCCTGGCCTTCCTTCCATCCATCACACCTCAGTGAAAGGAGTCACTGAGGAGGAGGTAATCCACCACTTTTCACAACCCTTAGGCTGTAACTACTTGTTAGATCTTTCTTGCATATCTTTGTTTTCCTGAGAAACCACTTTGAAGATACCAACATGTATTACAGAAGCCACTGATAATTTCCTACCAATCTGTCCATAACTCTGTAATGTTTCTATTGTTCCTATGCTATTTCATAGATGGATATATGTTTATTACTGTGTTTTCAACAACAACCATTGAGAATAGTCAATGATTATTTAATTGATCACTCATGTAAAACTCTACTTGTTTTCCCTAGAAACCACTTTGAAGAAACTAAAGTATAGTACAACAACCATTGAAAATTTCCTACCATTTTTGTCTGTAACTCACTATTATTGGTCTATTTGTTTTCCTGAAAGACTATCTTGTTTTGTTTTGTTTTTTGGTTTTTCTCTGGTACCGGGAACCGAACTCATGACCTTGCGCTTGCCAGGCAGGCGCTTTGCCACTGAGCTAAATCCCCAGCCCCTCTGAAAGACTATCTTGAAGATACCAATAGGTAAAATACCAACCATTGATATTGTCCTGCCACTTTGTCTGTAAATAGGTAAATCCCCCTATTGCTATGTTATCCTTCTTTTACTCTTTTAAATAAAAAAGGAAGATTGACAGCATAAAAAAAAAAAACAAAAAGAAATGACCCTGGACTGAAACTTGCCCTCCAAACGCTAACCAGCCACATTACATTTGTTCGTTATATAATTGCAGGACTTTTGGACAGAAGCTTGTAATTTTTCTGGAAGGCAATTGCTCTAAACAGATTCAGCCTGTATCTACTCAATGGGTCAAACAAAAATAAATTCAAAAACAAAGCTTCTAGTGACAGAGAAGCTGGGAACTTCTGCATTAGCAAATTAAAAGTGGAATAGAATGCATAAGACTGATATTCTTTGTCCAATACTATCACTACGATGTGGGAACCTTGTTGCTGTTACTAGGCAACTAACAATATTTTCTGCTTTTACTCTCCAATTTGATATAAGTGATTGGGTTAAAAATAGTGTAGTTTCAATAGGGAACATCATTGTATCAGGGATCTTTGCATTCAGAAGAAGAGAAAACCCTGCGTAATGTGCCTTCCTAAAGGGACTTTTATTAGCTCATATGGTGAAATACCTTCAGGCATAACTAGATCAGTAATTCATAAAATCATCATCCATACTCCTCTATTGTACTTCCTCAGAATGCCTTCACCCTTAATCAAATAAGTTCTCTGCTCTTAATGAAAAGATTTCTGTCAGCATCAATTACAGTCACAGCCCTTCTATATCCTATTCTAGTAGGGAAGAAAGGGAGGACTTTTTCAGCATTCCCAAGAAAAGTCATAAAACTCACTCTACTTGGCTGTTTATGAGGCAAGCCTATTTCCCAGGAAAGTCACAGTGGCAAGGCAAAGGATGTGTGATGATTGACGTAGGCCTCTTCCCAGAGCTGGGGGTGGAATGTCACCCAGGATGGTGGAGTAAGGAGTTAGAACTTCACATGAAAATTAGAGAACATTGTCAAAAGTAGAGTGTTTGCTGGGGAGGCAAAAAGCAAATATCTCCCACAACCGTGCCTGGCTAATATATTATTTCTTTGATGTAGAAATTATGCATCCTGATAAAAGAGCACCAGTGTTCATTTATTTAGGCCTGCAAAACTTCTAGGCAAGCATTTACAGAAACACTATTTAACTCCATTATTTGGTAATATACATGGTATTAATTTAGGGTCAGATACCAAAAATAAGATTAAATGAGGCAAGATAGAATGTCAATATTGTTTTGTTTTACATTTGTCTAGTAGCCAGTGATCAATGGAATGCTACTCTGACATAAAGATGGATAAACTTGAGTAATTTGTAGGGAAATGGATGCATCTTGGAACCTTAACATTAAGGGAAATAAATCAGACACACAAGACTAAACTTCTCATGGTTTTATTAACTAATTTATTAATTCTTATATAAGAAATAAAAATTATAAATAAAAAGCAAAATAAAAGATAGATAATAAGATGTAGGGAGAGAAATCTTTCTCAAATGGAAATGGGATCAACAGATGGAGGTAGGGGAAAGGAGAAGAAAGAATGAAAAAAGGAATTAAGATGTGTTAATGTAAATGTACCAATTCCACACAAGGAATGGAAACATTATGTACTGCAAATATGTAATTAAAAAAAAGAGTAAATGGGACATTTAAAAGGAAAACTCTAAACAGTGAGAGGCCCCAGGAATTGGTCTAGTTTAATACTTTAATATGCTGTCCTTTAGGGGTCAGGAAACTTTTTCTGTAAAGCAGTGGATAGCAAACATTTTTGGCTTTATGAGCCATGTGTCGCATAGAACGTTAAGCAAACATAGGTAATATGGAAACAAACGTGTGCAGTTATATTCTAATAAAACTTTACTTATAAAAACAAGCAGTAAGCTAGACTTAACTCACAAATTATAGTTTGTGGTCTCCTTCAGTTGTTGATGGGTAATGATGTACCATGTAGGAGTATGGTCTCTAGTGTTACATGCACATAAATAAATGATTTTGAGTTCTGCCTCTATTGCTTACTAGTTCCATGTCCATGAACAACTTCCTTACCTATTCTAAACTTCAATTTCCTTAACTGTATAATAAGGACGATAATAACAAATATCTAAGGGGATTTCTGTGAGAATTAAAGAGGAAATGCACATAAATCAAAAGACAATGCTGGACATATATTTACTGGTCAATAAGGAGTGGCTGCCATTATTGTAATAGTTAATAATAAGCAAGTCTGTTGGAGAAATTGTAGGAACACCTTGTGAGAGCACTGAGAATGAATAACAGTGAGGTTCACTGTATTTTTTTTTTATTTTAAAGAGAGTAGTCCATGAGAAACAAACAAAAAAATAGAACAGTAGCAGCATACCAGTATTGCGAACATAAACAAATCAAAGCAAGAACATTTAAGGTGATACAGGGTCTTAAGACAAATTAATACAAATTAACAGTGGTTGTTACATTGCATATCGCTATCCTCAACTACATTGCTCAGATTCTCAGATGTAAAAATGAAAGACTGCTCAAACCATTAAAGAGAATAAGAAAATAATTCTTCAATAAAACATTAGAGATAATACAGATTTTCACTAGACAAGATGGTAGGAGTTCACCATTGTAATTCCATTGCATGTTGTTACCTTCAAATCAGTTGCTCAGACCACCAGACACAAGCATGCAAAGTCGATCAGAGCATAAAAAATTGTGAGCATTAACTGTTCATTTCAACACACCATCAGACAACAGCAATACAGTCATCACAGCTATTCATATATATATATGTATATATATATTTATGTTTTGCCTTCCTTCTTTGTTTTTTTCTTCTTTCCCTCATCGGTTCACTGTTGTTTAAAGGATATTCTTTCATTAGAATATGTTCTAATTGCATTTTTAGTGTAATGGATTTTGTGTCATGAATTACAACTCAGGCAATTGTGACCTTCAGGAAAAGGTCTTTGATGACTTATTTTTCAAGGTACTGAAAAAGCCTGAAAAGGTCAAAAGGGTACTGAATATACTTTTTTCTGAAGCATTAGTAATTAAAGAGAAATTTTTATCTTGTTTATTTTGTGTCTACACTTGGTGTTTGGGTAATTAATAGTAATTGTCCTCTGCTAAAGCCTGAGTAGAGCTGCAGGAAGTTTGGAAAAGGCTAACTAGAGGGATTAATAGTCTTAGTGAATAAACACATGAAGTCCCACTAACAAGAGCAAAACGTTTCAACCTTGGAGATCATCCTGAAATAATGTGTAGTATACTGATGAAAGCATTATGTCTTTTGTCAGTGAGACCTGGATATAATACTGGTTGAGTGACCAATTAATTTGTGACTTTGAAAAGTCATTTAAGGACTGTGGATTTACCCGTTTGCACATATGAAATGTGCTTTCCTCGTGAGAATATTATGACAATTATGCACATAATTCACCATCCCCACCCTTTGCACATAGTAAGCATTCACTGATTCTTATTAATATCCTAAGTTTCTAAAATCATGTATGACATGTTCAGCATATCAGTCAGCTCTGTCACCATGACAAAGTATCTAAGGCAATCAATTTAAAAAGAAGAAAAAAAGATTTACTTACTTTGAGTCACAGTTGTAGAAGCTTTAATTTTCATTGTTTGGCCTTGTTGTCTTTGGGCCTATGGCAGGGCAAATGCATCATGGCAGGAATATGTGGCAGAGGATACTGTTTACCTCATGGCATCCAGGGAAACAGGAGAGATATACAGGAAGGGGCTGAAGTCCCAAAATCTCCTTCAAGGACATGCCCTAATGACCTAATTTCCTCCCACTGGGTCCCATCTCTTAAAGGTTCCACTATCTCCCAGTAGTGCTCTATGCTAGTGATCAGGCCATTAATACATGAGATTTGGGGAGATGCTAATGCAAATCATGGCAATAAGCATCAACACAGACCCTTTCATATACTGAAACAATTAAGTTGGGAGAGGAATACCTTTACATTATATAGAGGTGAAAATTCATATAAAATGAAGACTTATTTAAGTAGCAGGTGGTGAATCTATGGTGTCCATTGCCCTGTTGGATGCTACACGCTAAAAACAAGTCAATTTAATAAAAGATTCATGGATGATAGAATTGTCATGGATAACTATGGGAAATATATTTGACAGTTACAAAACTCATGGATAAAATAAAAGAGAACAGGACTATCTTCCCATAAATTCTCCTTGAATTGAGACTGTTGGAGGGGATATTTGCTGAGGTTGTTAGTGTAAGGGCAGTTCTTAATGTAAATTAGTAACTTCTGTCTGCATTAATCAAACTTTTATTTTAACTTTGATTTTTCCCATGATGATGGCAGGTAACAGCCATCAGAAGGCTTGAAATGTTGTCTTTGCCTCCTTACATTCTGCAGTCACTGTAAACATTATTATTCAAAAAGACTCAACAGCTTTGAATGAAGAGTTATGAAAATATGAGGGCTTTTCTTAGGATCCTGACTCAACAAATAAGAGCCTTCTCAATCATATAATGGAGGAAATATAGTTTGAAATGAGTCAAAGAATTTTCTCCAATTTCTTAGAAACACAAGTGAAATTGCAAATTTCAATAAGGCACTGATTTGTTCTATGCTTCCTTTGCAGACTAGAGTATGAGTTTCAACCAATAGTTATTTGAATACAAGTTATTAGAGTGCTATAGGAGGTGTAATTGAATCTGTTAGGGTAATCAGGAAGGTCTGACTTAGAGAATTTCTTGTTTTATTCTCAGAGAACACAAAGTTCTGGCATGCGAAAGATGTGCTTTCAAATTTTAGTTTAGTAACTTACTAGTTGGATGATGGAAGCAGATAAATTAGCTGCTCTGAACTCTCAGTTCCTGCTTTAAATTGAATTTTTAAAATCTACTTCATAAAGATGCAGTGAGCATTAAATGCTAGAAATATATATTACATCTTTTAGTAACATGAAACTTAAATAATTACCACTAACAAATTAAAGCAGTCAGTACAGTGCTTGGAATAAAGTAGGCACTCAACATGATTAGTTTCAAAAGGATAAAGGGTTAATAGGGACAACAGAATGTCCACATAGTCTTCCACTGGGCTACTATAAAGCACAGTTGGTAAATACAGTCATAATTGACTTATTCCTGAACTGGATAGATAAAAAAACCAGAGCCATGTAGTTTAAATACTAAAATCAATGAATAGGATAGAGGATTAAACAGACCAAAGAATTAGAGCCACTACTGAGAAGTAATGCCAGTAATTTAGTGCATGAACGTTCAAAGGTACAGCCACAATCAGTGGCTGACCAACCTGACCTGGGCAATAAAATACATTTACCAAAAGAGTTTGACTGACTTTACTAACTAGTGTAACTAAGTTCTGAAACTTTTGTTTTTAGAATATGGTCAGTAACTCCTGGTCCACGATGATATTAAAGATCCATAACACTATATTCTTTAGAAAACTTTTCTGTTCTATTGGCCCAGTGAGATTTGTTGTTTCATAGCTGGCCAATGAAACAGGCCACAAAAGACAAGGTTTTAAAGAAGTGATGCAAACTTCTAAAGACCTTCCCAAGGCATGTGATATTCGATTTTGCCAAGATTCTAGTAAAAATTCTTTATATTCTAAATGCTGCATTTTGTTCAGTGCATTTTGAGAATAAGTAAGATGAGCTGGATGGAGATGACATTTCAAAATTTAGAAAAACATGATATTACTGTATCATGGATAGAAGTGACAGCAGTGACAGCATGAACCTATGTGTTGTCATCTGGACAAAATGGTGGTGGTAAGAATAAGGCCAGTCACCTACTTTTTTCTCTCCAACAGTGCTTTTCAGTGGCTTATGTCTGCAGTTATGTCATCCATGACAGTATGTCTGACACACGGATCTATGTATTATGGTAAAATGCTTCTTGGTGTGAGGGAAGGTAAGTGTAGCAAGTGAAAACCATAGGTGTTTAACAATTTTATTACAGCTATAGAAAAATGAGAGAAATAAAGTGGTAGGCTGGCTGATGTTGAGGCAAGTTTCCTCAAGAGGCCAATCTTAGGGCTTTCACTATGATTCACATTATGGTAACAAGTTTGCAGCACGACATTCTTATTTTTAGTGTTCAGAAAGGTAATTAGGATGCAAAGGATTGGTGCAATTATAACCCACAGGAAACTGATATGTAAGGCAAACACCATTTTATTCACTTATTATGAGAAACACCTGCCAAATATTCTCAAACATTCACCTCAACTGGTTAGCAAATGTTTTCCTCATAATAACATTTATATAAGAAAGAAACTACAGTGAGATTATTTGCAGACCATGGAGTCAGAACAAAGGGAGATATGTATCAACCTTAATGACTAATGACACAAATTGGGATGACCTGATGGTTCAAGCCCATTGCAGGAGTAGACCTACCTGCCAAATGACTACCAGTAAACATCCCATCTCTGAGGCTAGGGAGATTACTGATGCCCATGCTTCTTTCACTGTCTCCTTTTCTAGACTCGATGTAGATCATTTTCTTGTTAGTAATTCATTTTTTTACTTTATCATGAAATAATTAACTGCTGCCTTTCCAAGGGCATCAGTCATATAGCAGATTTACTTCTCTAAAACTGTAGCTTTGATTGGGCCTAGGGGGTTCCCCAAGCTTTTGTATTTACAGATTACATCTTTGAGTAGGTTACATCTCATCTGTTCTTTGTGGATTCTAATTAGTTTCCCTTTCAGAGAATTTTATGTAGCTATCAGTTCTGAGGACACTCCTTTGTAACTGTTCATCCTAAGTAATGAGTCATTCTAATTGAAGCTGATGGTATGTAGTGGATAGTGTCATTACAATAACATTTTAAAGTGATAAAATGGTTGCTAGTCAGTAAGCAGTAAAGCATTATCATAGATTCCAATTAATATGCTCAGCCTGGCTACTAGGTTGAGTCACACAGGATACAAGAGGCCCTTGATGGAAGTACCTCAGCAAGGGATAAAAGGAATGGGAAGTGAACTGGAGTTCACAGACCTGGACAAATTGTCATTGCTAAGAGGCTATGAAGTCAGAAGAGTTTTTGAGGAAGAAGATAATGTTGCTGCAAGGGGAGTGTCTATACAGAAGTAAGGTGATATAACACTATGAGAGAGCTCACAATGACAAATTATGGCCCTAAAATAAGGAAAGATTGGTGATCAAGTCACCTGAGTGATCCTATTGGCATTCTATGAACATACTGGAGTAAATGAAGAAAGTGACTGGAGACCATTGAGTTAGTCATGTATTTAAAAAGTATTAGTGCAGATAAATCAGGATACCACCAGGTAATCTAAGTCTCTCAAAGCTCAAATAGATCTACGTGTTGGAGGATCTCATACAGTCCCAGTACCACAGTAGAGATTTCTCACCATAACTAGAACATATGCATTGAAGTCTCCTTATTGTGGGAATTTATGGAATAATGTGGATTTATAGCAAGCTATTGATAAAGGAGACTCTGCACATGTAAGTATCATTTAGCACAGTAGTTAATGAGGCACTGATGGGTGAAAAGATGTATTTGTTGGTACTACAGGATAAGAATAGTAAGATCTAGCTGTGTATAAGTGTTGAAAAGTTAGAAGTATTTTCCAGGAAAAATGCCAAAGTACAATGGCACTTTATGTTCTGAAAAGGTCTGATGGCTGCTAAGGAATATGTAATTATTCATCTTCAAGCAAGCCCTTATGGGGGATATATCATCAACAAGAACAGGGACCAGAGGACTGGTAATTAGCAGCAATTTCCCATCCGTTTTGGTTACCCTCAACACTTTAAGGAGTTGATGCCTAGAAGCATCAATTCTTTATATAGAGCTGGTGTGTGACAAGAGCACAACAAAATCAAATTCCCCCGCTTCTTAAATTTTATGCAAGGATGCTGTTAATGTACATGTCCCAAGGTTTTCCCAATGAGATGGTTCAGAAAATTGTCTGCAACTCTGCTTTTCAAATCCTCTATTAGATGAGGGACCCTTGGTGTGTGGTATATAAGCTTAGGGCTCAAAAGCAATGGAAAATCATCCCAGATAGTTACCAAATTGAGGCTCCTACAGTAGGGAATTACTATAGGGCCTGATTCTCAATCCCTAGTAGAGATCTGTTTAACCATATTTCCTATTCAAGGCAGCAAGAATATGATATGAACACAATAATTATGACAGGACATCTTATTCATCTTTCACTAAATATCTTTCAGCGATCATTGTCTTAAACTATTTTGACTTACCAAACATCTCTCCAGATGTACCAAAGATATTCTGGAATCTCAAATAAGATCATTAATAAAGAGGGGGAAATAGCTGGGATTGGTAAAATATAGCTAAAAGTATATGACTTCTAGAAGAGTCCAACAAGTAGTGCTCAAAAAGTCATACAATCTGGTTTATAAATAGCCAGGAGATTCAGTTTGCTAGCAAGAAATCTTTAGATGGCATCAAAATACATAGCTGTGCGGATGGGTGGCAGAGCTGTAGTTCCAGGAAGGTTGGTTTATGTTGAGGTAAGATTCTAGTAAATACATGGAGTACGATCTAGCCTTTAGAAAGTGAATATTAGCACATATGGTAATGCAACTAGTATTTCAGGCAAAGGACCTATGTGGACATGAAACTAAGGTACAGATCAAGAAGTGTGAGTATAAAAGTGATGGACTAATTCATAGGCACACATGACACACATGATTTGGGTTGAATTAAATTCGGCCCAAATCTCATCTATTGGTGAGTATAGTATTCCCAATATACTGCCAAAGCTGTTTTTATTGGCTTAGACTGGCTATAGTTTTGCTTGTAAATTTTCAATAACCTTGAAGAAACTGGTCCCAGGTATAGAAGTGTCTGGGAATTGTTTCCATTATTAGTTGATTGGTGAATGGTCAGCTCCCAGTGAATGAGATCTTGTTGTTTAAATTCCCAGAAGCGCAGGAGTTCATGGCTACCTGTAAAGTGGTATCACAGTTCTCCAGTTGTATTTTAGACTTAGTGCAGGTTGTAAATCAGTAAGGCTAGGGATGAGAGGGGTATAAATTTACAAAGTGACCTTCCCGGCCCCTCTTACTGGTGAGCCGGGTTATTTGTCCATGCTGGGGCTCGAGAACGTTTGGCAAGGCAGTCTCTTGTGAAATGACCAGCCTGGCTGCAGTAGAGGCACAACGGAGATTCCTGTTGGCGGGCTCTTTTAGCTGGGGTGAGAGGCAGCTGGCCTCCCCGAAGCTGTATAGGCTCTTCCTTGGGTGGTGGACCAGTGGATCTGGAGGAGGACTGGTGGTGGTTCAGGAATTCCAACACTGGGAGCTGGTTCTCTGGCTGTAGGAGCTCTGGCTTGTTATTACATTTCTTGTCCAACTGAATGCACTGAATTATCAGGTCTGGGAGATTTTCCATCATAGCTGTGGCACTTTTTTCATCCTGGATGGGGTCAGCCAGTCTCCCATGGATCTTCTCTCTGTGATTTGTTTCATTATAACTCAGACTTTGAGAAGAGAACTGGAAAGTAGTAACATGCTGATGAGAGGTGCTGTCCCCTTTGTCAACCTTAGGGTTCATCAGAGGGTTCATTTCTTGTTTTTTGGGTTCACCAGATGATGGCTGGAAGTCAAGAACACAGTTCTCGTTTTGCTGGTTATACTCAGAGTAGATTCCAAAAGTTTCCATCTGCTGAAATAGGTAGTTGGAAAGAAGCTGGATCTGGGACTCAGCTATATGACTGGGAATCTAAAGATCTGTCAAGTAGATAATCACCTGAACAAGAAACCCTGAATCATTGACAAGGTCACCCTGAAACTGGGAAAAGTGCTCAAGTGGTCAGGGTATGGACATCACTGGTGTGGTCAGAGCAGGCATGATGTTACTTCTCAGAGCAGATTTTTCCTCAGAAAGATGCTGCGTTTGTGGCTGCGGAATCAGATTCTCTTTGAAGAAAAGAAGGATCTACCTGCAAGGTTTGTGGTGATTCTGTGTACTTCTTCATTATATCTCCAGCAATCAGGTGAGGCTGAGTAGAACTGAGTAGTAGTACTAGAGATCAATGGAAAGACTGTGACTTTGTTCTGTGATCAGAAAGCCAGTGTCATTAGCAAGTGCCAAAGCTATAAGCTATGAAAAGTCACTAGTGAATGCTGAGAGCTGATTGGAGAGATGTTCGAAAATGTCTGCTATTCAATGTTGCCTCTTCTTCAAGGAGAATGTCAGTGTTCTGCACAGTCAGAAGAAATATGTTACCTTAGAACACAGAAGATTTGGAATTAAAAAGATATATACAATAGTCACAATAGCATTCTCTCCACCCTCCCTTTTTTGTAATATAGGGGCAATTTGCCCTCATATTAATTATGTTTTTAAATAATTATAATTAATCATGGTTCTAAAGTTCTTTCATCAGAGAGTCAAATAATTTTACAATCCAGAGTCATCTTAGTGATCACCTAGACCAAATTCATAATTTCACAGATGAGTAAACGGAGATATTTCAAAATGTAAGCTGAGAAGAAGCAGCATCTACATCACCATGAAGGTTGTTAGAAATATAGAATCTCACATCCTATCCAAGAACTACTGAATCAGTTTTCATACTTTAATAAGAGGTCCAAAGTGATTAAAATGTGCATTTAGATTTACAAATGTTGCTGTAGAGAGTAATCAGAACTGAAATAATCATACCCTTCAGTGCCCAAGCCTAGCCTGCAGTACTGTGGGAATCTGCTTGCTGTGATGCTAGTTAATCCACTTTTTTTCTGGCTACCTAGTCCCTATATGAGGTTACATTTTGTTGCCATGGAAATAATCAAAATATCACAGGCAAGACGAAGAGGTAAGATTGAGAACTGAACAAACAAGAACTGAAAATTCTTAGAAGTACAAAGATCAAAATGTTCATCGGTTCTCCCTGTGTTGAGAACAAGAATAAAGCCACTAACAAAAGCTAAAAGTAATCACCAAATACATGGCCTATCAACTGAACTATTCTGTATTTCAGTTCCTCTCACTGATCTTCCTTGTGTAGCATACTATTTAAATATATTTATATTATCCAGAGCTGGGTGAAGGAAGCATATCATTGAATTTTTGAAAATATAAGACTTGTTTCTTTAGGTTTTATTTAATGCTCCCTACTTTCTAGATCTATGGAAAAGTATTTGGAGACTAAAATAGTGTAAAATTGGGACCCAGAAACTGATTCATACCATAAAATTAATTAATCAGATGACCTTGAAGAACTCATTTGGGTCTCATTCTCCTTTTTGGTGTGTGTGGAGTGAGTGAAGGTGAGGCAAGGTCCTGCTTTGCAGTTCAGGCTGTGCTTGAACTCACTATGTAGCCTAGGCTAGCCTCCAAATTGCAATGATCCTCCTTTCTCAGCTTCCCAAGTGCTCAGATTATAGGCATGTGCCACCACACCTAGGCTTTCAGTTTCCTTTTCTATCTAAAAAGGGTGACTACCTTGTCTATGCCAAAAGGTTGTTTTATCAGTGTGGTGACAGATAAATTCTCTGAATGTCAAGATAGTCAGAGATTTGCCTCCAAAATTGCTCCAAGTGCAGCTGAGCAATGCCCAGTAGTGAGGCTCTATCCTTATCACATATTGCCAAATTAGAAAAATACAGTCATACTCTCCTTGCTTCCTTCCTTTCCATATTTCACCCTACTAGTCAACTGATCTACCTTCCAGATATTTTTTATTTCCCAAGTGTCCATTCATGAGTTCTTCTCCACCAATTCAGCAGTAATCAGATAGTCAGATATTAGCTGATAAGGGTTAATGATTGGCTCTTTTCAGTACATTTACTTTTTATTTAAGTTTTAATGTGTGTAAGAATTAAACCAATCCCAAATCCTAGCAAGTTGAACAACAGGTATAGAGTAGAACCTGTAAATCTCTACTTCAGCAAACTGGTCACTTGATTTTGGGTGTAGATGATCCCTGCAGGAAAGGCTATATCTCAAAGAATAAAGCCATATTAGTAGTAACACAGAGAACTAGAGCAGGGAGGGGATACAGTTGCAAGAGATTGGTCCTCAGATGATGTAGAATGGATGGTTCCTAATTCTACTTTTGTCTAAAGTTCACAAAGGATCCACACTGTCCTTCATGACTGCTCATCACTCTCAAGCAGCAGAATGCAAGAGTTAAGCATTATGTTCTACAGTTAAACTGACTTTTCCAAATCCTGACTTCAACAAAAGCTGTGTCACTCTGGGCAAATTATTTCACCTCTTTAAGAATCAGCTTCTAAACTTTAAAATGAAGATGCTTATAATACCTACCTCATAATATTTGTGATGATTAAATGAAAAGAGATTAACACCACATCATGCAATGGCAAGTGCTCCATAAATGTTATTTGTCATTATTCCAGGTCTGTTATCTGTTATGTCCATTTTAGAATTTCAAAATTTATATTTTTTTAGATTTTAGAAGGGTTGAACACAGACCATTACTGTTTATTATATAGTACTTTCAGAAGTGCTTGGGGAAGCATCCTATAATTAAGCCACTAACATTTCTGCAAAAAGTTTGAATACACATACTAAAAAGGATAAACAGTAAATTCATGTCAAGTCAGGTCAAGCATTGCTGCCAATTGAGATTTGGCAATAAATTAATAAAAGGAACTGCCATTTTTATAGAGCTTTTTGATTTCAGAATCAAAATGAAGAATTGTGGACATCTAGCAAATTCTTTTTTTGATTCAAATGGTGTCATTTTCCTTTCCTGTCCTTGCCTTGTGCCCTTTCCTTCTAATCCCAGGAGTTCCAGATCCATCTTAGGGTCTTCTGTTTATTTCCAGAATTATGTATTCAAGGTGGCATGATATTTAATTTTCCTAATTATGTAGCACTGGTGAAACATTTGCTAAAATTATGAGCATTAGTCCAAATGCAAATCATACAACAGCCCTGTTGTCAATGGCAATTAATTAATCTGTCAAAGAAAATATACCTTGCCTTATCATTTTGGGAATTGCTCTCATTTTAGAGGTCAGTGACATTCTACTGGATTGCCCTCAGAAGATTCTGGAGCACAGCCTACCAGTCTGGAGAATCTCACCTTGAATAAATGACAAAGAGACAGAAATGGAATGCCAAACACATAGACTTGGAAGATCAGACTGATGAGCTTGGACAAGGTCTGATACAAAACTGCAAACATTGAATCATTTACTTAAGAGCAATCTGTTTCAAAAACAACAACAAACAACAACAACAACAACAACAAATTGGTTTGGTAAAGTATTGAATGCCATTTTGGTGTTTTTGCTCACTTTGGCTCATGATCATGGTTAAAAGTTTCCCTAGGCATAAAATTGCATTCTGCATTTCTCTGAGATTGTATTTGCAAGGTCCTTGCTACAGTTTGCATCTGGAATGCTCCTCAAAGACTCATGTATTAAATATTTAGTCCTCAACTTCGCATTACTGGTGAAAACTCTTAATTAGTGGAGCCTAGTTGGAGGGCCTATGTCATAGAGGTGACCCTTCAAAGGAGATTTTAGGACTACAGCCCCTACTCTCTCTTTTTGCTTCTCAGCTTCCATGAGATGAGCGGCTTTTTCCCTGCTATGATGTACTGCCTCACCAAAGGCCCAAAAGCAGCAGGACCAAACAACCATGGATTGAATCTATCAAATTGTGAGCAAAATAAACCTTTCCTCTTTCAAGTTGATAAATTCAGGTATTTTATTGCAGTAACAGAAAGCTGGGCAACACAAGCCTGCAGTACTCTGTTGCTTATAAGAGACCTTTGAGACCTTTGCGACCTTATGCATTAATTTCAAGGTATTCCTTTTTGAAACAATTTTTTTCAATTTTTAAAAGTTTGGATTCCAAGATATTTGTAACTCATTGGAAGAGGAGCCTTGACCTGTTAAACATTTTGCCCTTCAGCTTCAGACTTCTAAGGATAACTGTGGCCCCAGAATCTTAATGGGGACATAAATAGCCTTCCAGGGTAACTAGAAGGGCACAGTATTTAAACTGATCTGGACAGCTGAATGTGAGTCTGTCTATGCCACCATCCAGACTGACAACCTTGGGCAAGTCACTCTATCTCCCTAGACCTCAGTTTTTGTTATAGGTACAGTGAAAGGATTTGGTCAGCACACATCAGAAAATTTGATTCAAGATAGCTAGTGAGAAACTCAGGAATAAAATTTCTCCCCAGTTATATTGACATAAGTGTTCTTTAGATTTTACTTTGGGAATACTGGGAACTGGCCACACAGAGCTCCAACATTTATCAGAAAGTTTCAAATTTCAGGGTAGATTAGAATGCCCTGGGAGTTTACATAAAGATTCCACTATTTCCCCATTAGAGAGTGAGACTCAACGATTTTGTGATGAAACCCTGTAATCAGCATTTTAGACAAAATCTGCAGATGATGCTGATGAAGAAGTTTCTTCAACAATACTTCCAAGGAATTCTAGGTTAAGTATTCTCAAAAGGCCCTTTCTGTTTTAGTGCTATCGATATTTTTCAAAGTAGAAAGTATTTAGCTGGAAAAGCAGCCCTTGAAGTGCACGATATGTAGATTACTTTTTTCCAAGGTTCAGTTTGAGGCTCCAAGGTACCCCTAAACAGTGGACTGGTGCAGAGTTGGTTTGAACATGTCACATTTAGTTGGCTTGAAGGCAAGAGAGAGGGTAACAATTGAGCTGATCCTGTTTTGTAACGCAGTGCTCCTTCCTGGAAGGTATGTATTACTCTGATCTTCACTCTGCTTGTGAATGATGTAGAAAAGCTGTCCACACATTTCTATATCAAAAAATAGAGCAGCGCAGCTGAAGTCATTTTAGCTGTTGCAATGACTCAGACTTCAGACTTTCCTTTACTCTTCAGTCTTCCTACTGGATCAGTGGGACCCATGGCTTATGAACTTACAAGTATCATAAATATTAGGTCACAGTTCCCTAGTTTACCTTCCCAACATGTCTAACTTTTTTAGAGCCAAACTTGGTAGTTACAATGAGTTACAAATAATATCTTGGAATCTGAACTTTTAAAACTTAAAAAAAATTGTTTCAAAAAAGAATGCCTTGAAATTAATGCATAAGGTCGCAAAGGTCTCAAAGGTCTTTTATAAGCAACAGAGTACTGCAGGCTTGTGTTGCCCAGCTTTCTGTTACTGCAGTAAAATACCTGAATTTATCAACTTGAAAGAGGAAAGGTTTATTTTGCTCACAATTTGGTAGATTCAATCCATGGTTGTTTGGTCCTGCTGCTT